TATATATTGTCGACCATTAAGTGCCTGGAGAATTGCTGTGATTTTATACCTCTATTATATAACTGTACAATAGCAACCAGCATTCCTACCCCTTACTCAAAGTGCAATACAACCAATCACATCACACTTTATACTGCACTGATCCTACTCCTTACACTGTACCTGTAGATATTTCTATATATTTTGTTTCTGTATATAACGTGTGCATTACCTCGTAAACGTATTTTGATCTTTATTTATCTCGATGCCAAACTATGTTTCATTGTTCTGGTAACAATGACAATAAAGATCTATATTACCTTATTTATACATCGGTGAAACTAAACAACCTCTGGCGAAGCCAATGGCACAAAACAGAAGAGCTAACATCAGGCCAGGACTCCACAATCTATTTACACCTACAGGCCAGTGGACACTCTTTCAACGTCATAATTGAAAGAGGAGGAGGCCATTAATGTGGAAAGGGAAAGACCATCTCTGAATCATGGAGGGAGACTAAGGGTACATCTTTCACCATCTTACAATGCTGTGATTGCAGCCATTCCCCAACTCTCTGTGAATGGTACTCATGGCCATTGATCAGTGGCTGTTGATCAATGGTCATGACAGTTAAAGTTCAAGCAACTGACCTCACAGCCCATTGTTCATTCAGCAGCGCTAGTTTCAGTCATTGTGAAAAGGTACTGTTTATAAGGTTGGGGAAACCTGCAGTCAGCTGAGACTTGGATGAGTGACTAAATGTCTCTCCCACTGAAAACGCTACGACCAGATGAACAGAATCAACTTTTTGGAATTTCCTTACCTGGATGATTGAGCATCAAGATGTTCTTAGGGAACATTTTGAGCAACCAACTACTGCTGAGAGCAGCATCTGCATGAATAGCAGTAGATAATTACTGGTTTGGACTCTAACACATGGAGCTTTTTCAGTAAAACAAACAGAGTTGTTACACAACACCAACCTATCGGGAAGGTCCTACATGTTGATACTAAACCCATCTGTTTAATGTAAGCTAAAAACTGTCTCTGTGCTTTGCTGCACTCTGGCAATAACAGCTCGAGAGGTACACCTCTAGTTAAACCGGTTCTGACTGAAATGTCACATTTCCTAACTGACCCTGAAGGCAGCAGCAGAAGGTGACTTGAAGCTTAAAGTTTTGCCTTAGAGTAACTGATTTGATTTCACTGTTGGTGTCAGCAGGTGGTAGCGCAGAATTTCACTTGCAAACCGTTCAGCTGGACTCACCTGTGCAGGTATGATACTCCAGTTTCATGTGGAATCTGCTGTTAGAAATGTTAAACTGTTGTAATCAGTATTTCATTTCTCTGGAAGTATATTTACTGCAGTACTATTTCAATACAAGCTGGACTTATTTATTTACTTTTATTTAAACACCCTGATCTTGGTGATCAAATGTCTTCCAACAGCACATCTTATTCTTCAATTTACTTTGTGTCCTTCACTTTCTTTTATTATCTGCTTTTCTCTTTCCATCTAACATCATCTCTATTCTTCTTAAGAGAAGGACTGTATATGGACACTGTGAAGAGATATTTTCAAATTAGATGAACTCAAAATAACAAACAACCACTTTATGCTGTATCAGTTGAATTTATAGATTGTATAACAAATTGTATTGTACGGTATGACATTAACCTCAGACTGCATTTGCGTAATTGTACCTTATAATAGTTTAGATAATTTTAGCTGAATACTTTCAGTCTCACATGTTAGAGATTCATGTTGCAATTCAGTTGTCAGTGTAAATGTGTTAAACTGACAACAAGGCATCAACGATGAAAGATTTTCCAACTTCATGTGAACTTTAGAAAGACTGCAGAATAAACAACACAAAATGCAAAAAGGGAAGATTACAGCTGCTGATATCTGTTTAATGTAGCTGCAGTTACACTTTAACTGCCATGCCAAGGGCCTGTTAAGCAGTTCACACGATAAGAAACTCTGCGTGTCTGTTATGCAGTTGAGCTCTGAATTTCCAACCATGGACCAATCACTGTCTGGTGGGCGGGGTCAAGTGAGCGTGCTCAGCTGTTTCCCGCCTTCTGTAGGCAGAGATATTGCTGCTGCTGTGGTGAAACCCCTGGGAGCTGGCCTTGGAAACCCTGGCACCCGTAGCTTGCTATGCACAGACAAACAGGTGAGTGTGACCTCTAACTAAAGCCAAACACACAGTGGGGGTAGACAACACAGCAGGAAGTGAAGAATGACTTGAAGCCCAGACCAGTTTACTGCAAAGCAAGTTGGATACAGTCAGACCCTGTTACCAAGAATGTGGAGGGGCTGTGCAAAATATTAATAAACAGAGAATGTAGCCTTTTACCACCCATTAAAACCTAGATACAAAGGCCTCCTTTGTTGTATATATTTGTTTAATAATTCACCAAATATTTTCAGTGGATGACAGGTCTGGACTTCTTTTTCTGTTTGGCATGTAAATTTTCCTTGAAACATAAGTTGTATCTATGACAGTATATGTAACCTCCAAACCTCTGTACAGCTCTCTTAGCTTTACTGGAGTACTCATGAGGTGACTGTTGTTGTGATTTAACCCACATAAATAAAACTGAATGTAACAAGTTTATTTACTTGTGCAGGTAACACAAACCACATCATAAAAATACAAAAGAAACATCTGAATCTTAATCTCAATCCTAATAACTGAGGACAGAAACATATACAATAATAATAATAATAATAATAATAATAATAATAATAATAATAATAATCTGAATATGCAGGTAAAGTGGACAATGGAGGTCTTGTGTTATGGCCTCACTCTCCCACTAGAAGGAGATACCGTCAAACTCTGCGTGGACATCTACACTGATTGGCTAATGGCCCTGGTTTCCCCAAGAGACTCCACTCCTCCACCAATCAGCAGAGACCCCAACCTGTATGTCCAGAAGATCCTCCGACACCTGTTCAATCTGTTCTTGCCCAGGTAGACAATCTAGACCTGATTACCCTGATTTACTGATCCCATACAGGGATCCACTAAGGAACCATTGACCTTTAAGGACCTTGTTAGTTTTGAATACCTGATGTTTTTAGATGCAACTCAGCTCTTCTTTGAGTCCAGTTAAGCCATATATTATATTCATGTTGTTATAACAACATACGTGTTAACAGTTATCAATACTTATTTTACTGGCTGATGAGTATCGGTCAGGTCAGATTGATGTAGTTGATGTTTCTTCTGCCTTATGTTGCACAAAGCTGTTCTATTTAGTGACACCTACCAGACCAAAACCACTTGAGACAGTGATTATTAAAGATAAAATTCTTCTATTAATCATATTGTGGCTCAAGAGTTGGCAGTTCGTCTTGTAATCGGAAGGTTGCCGGTTCGAGCCCCAGCTTGGACAGTTTCGGTCGTTGTGTCCTTGGGCAAGACACTTCACCTACCGCCTACTGGTGATGGCCAGAGGGGCCGATGGTGCAATATGGCAGCCTCGCTTCTGTCAGTCTGCCCCAGGGTGACTGTGGCTACAACTGTAGCCTCCACCAGTGTGTGAATGCGAGAGTGAATGAATAGTGGAATTGTACAGCGCTTTGAGGTTCTCGAAAAGCGCTATATAAATGCAATCCATCATTATTATTATATCCAACGACTAGCCATTAGTGTGGTGTCATGCAGATCAATGTGGTTATACTTGTTACTGTTTTTTTCTGAACTCTTCTCTTCTTGACTCTGCACTCAGGTCTGACCAGGTAAATCTGGTCTACCTGTCTCTCTATCAGCAGGTTCTGTGTGCTGTCCAAGTACTGGCTAAAGAGAGTACCATGATGAGCAGAGACACCTGGGAGACTCTGTTGCACTTCTTGCTTCGCATCAACCATGCCATGCTGTCTCCAGCAACTGCTGCAGGTGATAGTTATCCTAACCCCCTGTATCTTTACTTGTCTCTCCTGTCCATGTCTCCTGTCTGCGTCTCACCGGTCTTTCTTCACCTGTCCTTGTGTTTCTGTAGGTGGTGTATCAGACATGTTGATGGCAGTGCTCCTTGAAGTGTGGCTGCTGTCTTGCTCTCGATGTTTTCCATCTCGCTCACTATGGCAGACATGCAGACAGATGTTGAGCAGCTGGAGACATCAGCCTGCAGTTGTGGAACAGTGGTGCAGAGTTGTTGCAGCCTTAACCTCCAGGTTCAGAAACATCACAAACTGTGACTGAGTTCTGTCCGGCAGCAGCCACAAAATACTCATGGGGAGATGTTTTTATTGTTGTTGTTGGGGAACTATATTGTATTGTTTGTTTGTTGGATTATTGGTGCTATGTTGTTACTATCTACTAGATAGATAGATGGATGGATGGATGGATGGATGGATAGATAGATAGATAGATATGAATATAAAATATGAATATGCAATGAAATATACTCATTAATGAGATGTAGCAGCCAAATGTCTGTTGCACAGTATTGCGACTGTTGTGAGTCTATTGCACGTGATTAGTTCTTATTTAGTGTTTAGCTTGTGCAAACACTAAAGCTTAGTTGTCCCCACCTTCCTTTGTCCTCCTGTTTCCCTCCAGCGAGGAGTTAAATAGTTTGATGGCATGTGGGACAAAGGAGTTTTTATGTCTGTTGGTCCTAGACTTGGGGAGAAGCACCCCGTCACTGAGCAGACTCCTATGGTTTTTTGTCCATAATTGCATTGTTGTAATGTGCTCAGGTTGCTGCAGCTGACTTTCGGGCCATCATTCCCTCACTTTAAAGTCCCAGAAGAAGATGCTGCCCTGATCCCAGAGGACATGGATGATAAGCGAATCCCCCAGACCTGGTTCAGGTTCCTGCACTTATTTAGGTAACAATTGCTTCAGAAACATGGTCAGATGTTTTTAACTTGGCACGTGACGTGTCTTTTCGTTGACCCCCAGTAATCCGGTGGAGCTCAGTCGCACAGCAGCTGTTGTTCCATCGCAAGTTTCACAGGGGGAGGTGTTGAGAAGAGGTGACAGTCAGCTACCAAACATCTTCTTTAAAGCCATGAGTGGAGTCGGTATCCTTGTCGACGCCTTCCTGGGTACGCTGACCTTTACTTTACACATTAACCTCTTTGTATAGGCATCT